TTGTCTACCCGACCCGACTTTTCAGGTCGGGTCGGGTCGGGTCACAGGTTGACCTGACCTGATTCGGAGCTCTAGTTAAAAGCGTTGAATAGAGGTTTATTTTTCAATTAAAAATTTTTCTAATTATATAAAATGCATATAACTAATTTACTTGATCATCTTCCAACACAGGATCTAAAAAAGTGTCACAGTATAAATGATATATTAGAAAGTGAGGCAAATCTTGAATGATCCAAAAGAAAAACTCTTTTCAATTTTCAGACTGGATCATTAGTTCAAGGCAATTATATGGTAAAGGAATTTTATTTGAAGCTGAAAGAGTATAATATTTGCATAAGTTATCCTGAAGAACTTCTTAAAAATATATTCTTCAGAGAATTATTATATGAGAATACATTTAAAGTTCTTATAGATGATTTACAGATGCTTGTATTAGATGAGATAGTAGAAAGGCTTAGTTCAGAGCAGTAATCCATGCAAAGCACCTTTAATCTTGCTTGAAAGATTTTTTTGTTTAAAGATACAATGTATAATATATACTATTTATAGTGTAGTCAAACATTTTTATTATACCAGAAATATTAGAACATGTTTTATATTTTCTAGCAGTAGATAATTCTTTCTATCCTACTCTATTCATATTCCGATTATGATACAGATGCATGCTCTTATTCTATAGAGACGCATTGAGCTAAAGGAAGAGAAAGCAGAAGATCAAACTCAATTAGAAAGATTTTTAAAAATAGTACCTGGAGGAGGAAGAAAGTCAGTTTATAACTCGAAACTAACTCATCTTAAAATAACACACTACCGTTTACTTTCAAATAAAAAAATCAAAGGTATTATACACACATTCCTAAATATAATCCACTTAGACTTTGAAAAAAGCATAGATCCTACAGGTAAAGTTCTAAAGCTAATAGTGAAATCATACCCAAATTTGAAGTATCTTAATATATCTAATTTATGCATAAGATTTGAACATGAAAATGATATAGGTTTATCTGCAATCGCAAATTCATGTTACAAACTAGAATATCTAAATATTTCTAATCATACAGAGTTTTCTGAAATATTAATTTGTAATGTTATTCGCTTTTGCCCAAGGCTCCAACAACTTGACCTTACCTCTTGTAGGATTACTGATCTAACTATTGAAGAAATTGCTAAATCATGTCATAATTTAAAATATCTTAATTTGATGAGGTGTTATAAAATTAGCAAAGGAGCTGTAAATAAGCTAAATCCAAATATTTACATAGAGAATTTTGAGGAACTTTTAATACGTCTTGATTTCATTGGAAAGGTTATAAATCATCTTACACAGAATAACATTGCTAGTAGACAGACTCTAGTTTAGGACCTTCAGAGCCTTTTAGATTTAAATATGCGAGATAATTTGCAGTGGTATTCTGATCCATGGTTGGCTAGATCAATAGTCCAGAGTGATGATCATTAACTCAGAAGATTTTTTTTTGTGCCCTGTGTGAAAAAAAATATAAATTAGCTAACCTGTTCTAGACATGGGCATTGGCTGGCACTAGATGGATTTTTGACAAATATTTCATACAATTGTTGAGAAGAGACCTTTGGAAATAATAGTAATACCTTTCCACAAAAAACTATTAATTGCACAAACAACTTGCTTCAATTTCAATGCTTAATATAATTTATATCACGAATTACTAAAAATTTTACTAATACACTACAACTCATAGTATCTTTTCCTTTTTCTCTTCCTCTTCCTCTCCCCCTTCCCCTTTCTCTACTCACTTTACTATTCTCTCTTGATATTTTTTTGTAGGAATTGTGAAAATGTAACAACTCTAGATTGTTCTGGTATAACTCCAGTTGCATACTTTGTTTTAGGCTTCATAATGCGTTGCTGACCTTCCTATTTAAGTTCTTTAAACTTCTCAATCTTTTTGATAATATTGTATCATAAACACAAGAGAGTTCAGATGAGTCTAGATGCATATTCTAGGTTGATATTGGAAGTTGGAATGGTGGTAATTCGATACTCATCATAAATTTATTAAGAGCAAAAACACCCTCATTCATCAGCTTCTTTCTATCTCCGTTAATTTTATCTAGGTCGGGATTATTGGGATCTTCTGACACCTCAAGCAAAAATAACGGAATTTGCCTTGATCGCTCAAAAACTCCAAGACACTATCAGCTTTATACCCATTATCTTGAGTATCAATCTTTGTAAAAATATCTTGTTCACATGAGAAATACTGTAACGAATCGATAAAGCAAAATGTAATAAAAAACAGATATGCTAATATGAGCTGTCCATGTACATTCAGGAGTATCTCATTATGCTATCCATTTTTATGATTGTATCAAGGTAACTAGAAACACTCTTAATAACAAAAATATCAGGTATTTCTGATTGATCATAACTCTCCATTGGAATTGGAAAGGTGTTAGATAGAAAGTGAAATTTTTTGGATAGACTGTCTAATTGATGAACTTTTCCCAATGGCTCTCTTCGCTGTTTCTTTCATCAGTTATGTCATTATTCTCACCTTCTATATCACCGTCATCATAATTATCTTTCTTAATGATCTCATCAAACAGTGTCATATGCATACTCGCCTCTGAACTTATACATTCATTTTCATCCGTCAAACTTAACCTTTCAAACAAAAAATTCAATTCATTATCGCTCAAAAGTTTGTAAATCTGATTTAGTGTTTCCTTATCTCCCATATTAATAATATAATAATTCGCCTCAGCATCTCGAGTATGCCATATTGACTTGAGTTTCTCATAATATACTGGGAATTTGGTTTTTCTGAAGGTATCAGAAACTTTGGAAATAGAGTTCAGTACGTCTTTTTGAGTAATATCTTCATTTTCATAAGTACTGATCTGTATGCAAATGAAAAAACAAGATGAAGAACTTGCAGGCTAATAATTAAGTTATATCTTGAGTCCTAACTAAGGTTGCTTGTCTAAACTCATTTTGGATTTGGCAAAATGGTAAAACCTTTAGTTTCGCTAAATTTTTACT